TCCCGCGCCCGGGCAGAGGCGGCGCGGTGGCGGCTTCCCTCCGAGCGCGCCTCCCGGGGTGCCTGGCTAGGAGCGCCTGCCTTCCCCATCCAAGGTGTGCAGAGCTCGGAGGCGGCGGCGGGGGCCGGCCCAGCTCCGAGGACCAGGAACTCCCAGTCCTGGGCTGTTTGGCGGTCTCTTTGGAATCGGTCCCTCCAGGTCCCGCCGGCAGCCCCAGCCCAGAGCCGCCTTCACGGGTTTTCCTTTTACAGGCGCCACGTGGGCTTCCTGCTACCTGCTGGGGAAGCGAGAGAGAGTGCATTCAGGAATCGTCCAGCTGCCTCGTCACAAGTGGGGAAACTGAGGTCCAAACTTCCGACTCTTCCGAAAAGCCTGGAGCCAGGATGCAAGCAAGAGCCGCGGGAGCCGGGCGTGGCTCGTGGACCTTGGATCCCGCTCCCAGCCTCCGCAAGGGGACCAGCACACGGGAAGGCGTGGAAGGTCCTACTTAGGGGTGGAGAGAGCTTTGTGGTCCCTCAGAACTGCACAAGCCTGACCTCCCCATAGGGCCAGCAAAAGCGGTTCATCCGCGGCTGCGCATTCAGCGCCCGGCTCTGCTATCAGACCACAGCCGCTGGCACCTGAGGACTCCGATTTGCGGCCCCTGAGGACTCCGGTTTGCAGCCCCTGTCAGGCAGCGGCAGAAGGAGGCAGAGATAGAAGGAACAGCCCAAGAGCCCAGGCTCGGAGTGCAGGCTCCATGTCTAGCTGCCATGGCTTGGGCACATCTCCACACACCCCTGTTCCTGCTTCATCCTCGAAAGGAGGGCGATCTTTTCTGACCCATTTGCTCCACGGGTTAATTGTGAGTTTCCCAAAGGGTCTCGAGTTGCAAATACTCTGCCCAGCGTCAGGCACACTCTTACTGGGGTGGACTGGACGCCTTCCTCCCAGCTTCCAGCCAGGGTAAAGCCACGACCTTCACGCAGGTGAGAGAGGTACTGGCCCCAAACCCAGGCCCTCGCCCGCCGCTAATGGAACGGTTGAGGAAGTTGTACTGGGTGGGATTCGGGTCTTCTGGACTTTGCCCAACTGCAACCAGCGGCTCCGGGTCAGTGCCGGAGCTCCGGAACTGCGGGAGGCCACGTGCACTCCAGGCTCCCACCTGGCCACTCTCCCTGGTTTGGGTGCTGAAAGCACCAGTAGCGCCGAAAACAAAAAGGGACGGCGTGCGTTTGTCTAGAATTGCGTATGGGCTCTCGCAGAAGCACACCGCTCTCCGTCCCTTGGATACGAAAACGCTTTGATCCTGAGAGCAGTTCAATCCGTTGCCCTTCCGCACTAGTCCCCAGACCCGCGAGGTGGGGAAATACTGCGGAGGTCGCAGGACCGGCACAGTCCCAGCTCGGGACTCAAGTGCCTCTAGGGAGGGGAGTCTCCAGAGGCCCGGTTCTGTCGTTTCTTCTAAACAGCGAGCCAGCCTCTGGGCAGCGGCTGGGGACCCGGCGCGTCCCGCTAGAGGG